TAATAGGTTTGTTCGAGCAGCGGCAAAACCAATCTGCAAATTGGGAGACGCATGCGCAGTATGGTAACGGTGTTCGAGCAGTAAATAAATCCCGAATTCTGACTTTTTCGACTACCAGTCGTGTGTTCGATCAGAATTTAGGATTAGTTGGGTACTGGTTGGGTATAGTTTTTACAATTTGCTGACTTTCGAAAAATTGTTGACGGATTGTGTACTGTCATGCGCAGTGGATACTTTGCGAGTTTGTTGGTAATAAACGTAGCACGTCGAGAGGGCGACACAATCGATTTATATTTGTAAACACAATATCCGCTTTATTATTCGAAATTAATTGTGTGTGCTAAAGTTTTTGCACTTTGTTGTTAAATTTTTACTCAATCTTTTAATTACCAACTACATAAAGTAACGAAATCTCACAAGAAATGTATAAAAATATATAAGAAGTGTTAGATAGTCGATAAATATGCTCAAGTTATAAGCAAATGTCATTTACTCATGTTGTGGCCGAGGTGCTACATTGAGATCATATCGTATATAAAAACTACATTATGTTTAACAAAATACACATTTGGTCGTAAAACCCGTCAAAATTGCTTTCATTTGATATCAAACACGATATATTTCGGTTAAAGTAAGGTTATAAACTGTCAAATGTCAAAATTAAATGTAACGAAAAAAACATTGTTGGTTATAAAGATGTTCTTTTTTAACATAAGTAGACAGAAAATTAAAAATGCTTTAAAATGAACCCAAACTTGACTTATTTATCTCTAACCGTTATCGAGATATTTTTATTTTTACCCAAAAATAAAAATGGCGGTTATTTGACAGTTCATAATCTAACTTTTTTTATTTTTATATCATGTTTGGTATCAAATTGAAGCATTTTTGATTCTTATAAAGATCGTTTCAATATTTATTAAAAATCGGTATATTTAATTTTGTCATTTGACAGTTTATAACCTAACTTTAACCCAAATATATTGTGTTTGGTATCAAATGAAAGCATTTTTGATCCTTATTAAAATCATTTAAATATTTATCAAAAAATCGTTATATTTAAATTTTGACATTTGACAGTTATTAACCTAACTTTTTTATTTTTTAACCCAAATATATCGTGTTTGGTATCAAATTAATTCGAAATAACAGTACAACAGTATAGCGACTCAGAATTTATGGAACATTTTCGTTTGAGTAGAGTAGTTGCTGAAGATCTAGCAAATCGATTTAANTTAAGATATTTAGAAAAATGTGTTAAAATTTCCTTACTTTGATGGCCTGTATCTTTGCAATTTGAGGACTTTTACTAATTTTTTTTTACATGAATTGTCATCATTTTCACTCTAGTACATGTGGTTACATTTGTTCCCCGAGTCACCGAAACACCCTGTATACAGGTGTCTTTTCTCTGCTAAAATTATATTCAAAATAGATGTATTGTACATCAGTGGATTCAGAAAAACAATTTCTATCCAATGGCGTAAAGAAAAATATATAGAGCAATTTGTAAAGCAAAAGTTAATAATCGCTTAAAATTGAAGATGGCCTTGGAAAAAATTTATTTGTAGCATGATTCATAGTATTCATGAAACCATTTCATTTGATACCCCGCTCATGAAAATCGGAATGTAAATGACAGAGCTACAGCTTGGGGTGTTTTTTGTGTGACACCCTGTATAAACGTTCCCTCCGAAATTTCCCTCCAGCACTCTCCCAGGGTTTTGCAATGCGGTCTTCTTTCTATCCTTTCCTACAAAGTTTTATTATTTTACTCCTAATCGGGTTGAAGAAAACAATTTTGACAGTTCTAGTATTGCATTAGCACTATCACTAGAAGTAACACATTTAGCCGTCTTGAGAGACGTGTGGGTAAATCCGAATGTTTCTTTTTCTTGGTCTAGTGTTAGTTCTAGTATTGCACTATCACTAGAACTAATACAAGACCTAGAACTAGAATCATTTAGATTTAGCCGTCTTGAGAGACGTGCGGATAAATCCGAATGTTTCTTGTTCTCGGTCTAATGTTAGTTCTAGTATTGCACTAGCACTACCACTAAAACTAACACATGACTTAGAATTAGAATCATTCGGGTTTATCCGTCGTGTTTTTAAAATAACACCGAAGAAGTCAATNTAAATAACCTGTACTATAACCTGTATCTTTATGTAAAAATAAACTGTTTATTTTTTCTAGCTTTTTTACCAACTTTTTTTATTTTAATACGTATACTACAAACACATATGCTTGATTTATTTTACACTTTTTATTTTGTGGCGTAGTTCACTTGATAGATTTGGTGAATTACTAGGTAATTAGAGTGGGAATTGGTAAAATTAGAGGAATTAGTAGGGAATTAACGTGGAAATTAATAAAATTAGGGGAAATAGTAAGGAATTAAGGGAATTAGTGAAGAATTAGAGGAATTAATAACAAATCTGGGAATTAGTGTACTAATTTTGTTCAACGGTTTACCCCTCGCATTACCACAATCACTAGAACTAACACATTTAGCCGTCTTGAGAGACGTGTGGGCTAAATCCGAACGTTTCTAGTTCTCGGTCTAGTGTTAGTTCTAGTATTTCACTCTATGACTAGAACTAACATAAGACCTAAAACTAGAATCATTCGGATTTAGCCGTCTTGAGAGACGTGCGGCTAAACTCGAATGTTTCTAGTTCTCGGTCTAATGTTAGTTCTAGTATTGCACTAGCACTACCACTAAAACTAACACAAGACTTAGAATTAGAATCATTCGGGTTTAGCCGTCGTGTTTTTAAAATAACACCGAAGAAGTCAATTTGCTAAAATACTAATAACATTAAATTCATCATTAAGTTGCGAAACGATATTCAAACTACATTTAGTCACTCGGAGAAATTGACGCATTGAAAATATGACCCCGTTGGAACTTAACTTATAATTACCATATTCGAATATTATATAATATCTAATCGATCGTTTCATCTAATTCAAGTATTAATTTTTCCGGTATATTATGCATAATTAATAGCCCAATTTAGTGGTTCCAATTTTCCCTATTTCCCATGGGATATTGTAATAATTCCCCATCCCCGAATTTCCAATCCGTCGGTAAACTATGCAAATTTGGAAATTGGAGGGTTTGAAGCGGAGTGAAGTAGGCTGTGTGTAGACTGATGAATAATTACGCGTACGTTGAAATTCTCCCAAAAAAACTTGCCACGTTAGTGATTTTCGTGAAAATCTTTTTCGGTCGTCTTCCAGGTCACGGAATCCTTCCGTTGGAAATCCCGTCGAATTCGGCCGGCCAGTATATTTTAAAGACAATTGTCAACAGCAGCGAAGGCGAATCTTGTATTTTACAAAGTACCACTCGTATGAGATTGGTGGGAAATGTTAGGGATGTTATAATTCGACCTGCTCGACATACTTATAGACCTGGTGAAATTAGTAAGTTTTTTTTATTAATTTTTGGACTTTCTTAATTTATTTTTGTATTCCAGTTGAATTTTGGATCTTAGCTTTAGATCACGACCTCCAAATAGTACCCGATTCTCTTGCGACGGTTAGCGTAAAAGATCCACAAGGTAGTAAAGTGGGTATTTGGGGTGAAATTCAACTAAATGAGGGAGTTAGAACTTTTTCTTTGCCCATCTCTGAGTATGTTAGACCGGGGCGTTGGACGTTATTGGTCGAGGTCGATACGACCGAGTTTTCCGCGCAAATTGACATTGTTCCCGGATTTGGAAATGGTCTCCCGGACGTAGCCGCCGCTGAAGAACACTACGTCGAATTGAGATTCGGAAGGGATATGAGAAGGAGGTATAAACCCGGTTTACCATTTTCCGGGAAGGTAGAAATAAAAAAATTTCTTTTCTGTTTGTTTTCTTAACTAAGATGAATTGATTTTCAGGTTGAAGCAATGAGTACTGAAAAATCTGTTCGGGTTCGAGTGAAAGTTTACGACAACATGACAGCAATTTACAGCCAAGATATCGAAATAAGTAACGGGGAAGGAACATTTGTTGTCCCCGCGATTTTAGCAGATAGCGATACGATCGCGTTACAGGTAAAGATTCCTAAAAATTCAGAACGATTTGTGGATTTGTGTGGATTTTTATTGGAGGGCGGCTCACCCATTTCAGCCCCCTTTTTCCGTATAAATCGCCTCCGTAATTCCGTTCAATTCTCGGGTAAAAGGGTCCGAATTTAAATTGTGAATTAACGGCTGAAGACGAAATGGAGGGGCCTCAAAAACTCCACCTATTTGAATTTAATTCAAAAACTCACGTATTAAACCTTTTTTTTAAATCGTTTGAAAAAGCTCCCTTTTTAAATCGTTTTCAGGCCGAATTAGTTTCGGTGGAAAGTAAAGAAATCGAAAGTCACTACGTTTTAGCAAAGGAACAGATTAAAAAGTGGAACTCAACGACGGATTGTTATTTATTAATCGAAGGAATTGAAAGAACTCTTTTGGTATAAAAAAAAATCTAATTTATTTTTGGATTTATTTGAAAAAAAATTTTATTTAGCCTGAAGATGAAGCTCACGTAGATATTTTATCGACGTGTCCCTGCGAAAGAGATCTTCACTACGTAATAACCACCGATGGAAGAGTTACGGATTGGGCGCAAAGAAGATACGAAGATCCTTTACCGCTCGATATTACGGCGAAAAAGAATCGGGGCGGAGTTTGCAAATTAAATTTCAGGTAAGACTTAAAATAAACTTATTTAAAATTTCATTAAAGTGTAAAAACGCGGTTGAGATGGTAAATTGAGGTGGTAAATTTCAATGATTTTGAGGTTATTTTCGGACGGAAACTCGATCCCGATTATATTAAACTTGGGCTGAGTTGCCGTCCTCGCCCGTTTTGAACGTAATAAGGGGTGAAATACACAAGGTAATATACCGTAAAATACTCACATAAACAGGAAGAAATATGAGGATTAAAAGTTTTTGACAAGATTTAGTTGTCATTTTACACACACTAAAATATTAATGATTTTTTTAGTTGGCAACACCACGACTAACTTCACAACTATTAAATCTTTAATGTCTTAAAGAAATAAAATTAAACATAAAAAATTACAATTACCACATTAAATAATTCATTTTTTTTTAAATTTATCTCAAAATCTTAAGTATTATTGAAAACTTTAATTGATAATAACAAAAATTCGACTTTCTGATCATTCTACACGACAACGATGACAACTACGATTTTCATTCCTATATGTTGGCTATACTTGAAAAACTTGATCTGTCAAATAAGTCAAATTTAGTAAATTTTACAGCAAGATTATTGGTGTGTATAATAGTAAATCTTATTAAACCCAACTACTACATGTTATTACAGTTTAAAAATTCATTTTAAATAATCTCCTTCATTTCTAAAATTACCATTTCGCACTCATTCTCGTTACTTCCCCATCCTATCTAAAATCTCCTACCTCATCATCCCCGTTATCCGTAAACCCCTTGATCCCAATTACGCAACCTCTTTCCTTAAACCCGACGAGGAAAATCCTCCTCCCGCCGCCGGGAAACCGCCCGGCCGTCGTTTCACCTTTCCCCATCTCACTCTTTCTCTCCAAATAGAGTCCTCGTTTAGTCATCCATCTTCCTCGTCTTGTCTCCCTAATCAACTGATCCCCACATCCCAGAAAATTGACACGAACCGTCCGTATGTTCTGTTGGGAATCTCCCTCTTGGGATTCCTTCACGCTTCCTTCCGAGATTTTCCAACAGGAATTCATGTACAAGGTCGTACATGCTATTTAATAACAAAAAATTAGTTGAAAAAATATATAATAACCTATAGAGTGAAATGTCAATTTGACAGTTAAATTTTTGACGTTTACCTCAAAAAGTAAATTACATAAAAGTGACGTTTTAATAAATACTTTGAAATGGATGCTTAACTTTAATGTTAAATCCTGCAAAAATCGATGTTGGAGAAATAAATTTCGTTGTTTACAACCTTGTAAGGTTCAATTTTGTCAATATCAATGAGTCAAAAAGATTTCTGTAAAATTAAACGTCATTAATACATAGATCTTATACGATTTGATATTGGTGATGTAAATTAAATTAATAAATTTAAAAGTTAATCTAAAAATGTTAGAAATTCAAATATTTAATCAAAATTTAAATAATAAAATTAATTTAATAAGAAATTTTATAAAAATGGAATGAAATGTCAATTTGACAGTTAAACGTCAAAAAGTAACTAACAATTAGACCTAGAATTAGAAAGTTTCGGGTTCTGAAGACGCACGGCTAAACCCGAATGATTCTAGTTCTAGGTTTTGTGTTAGTTCTAGTGATAGTGCTAGTAACTAACACTAGACCAAGAACACAATGCATTTACTATAATTAATGTATCAATAAATTGAATAAAAAATATAATATTTAATCTTAATTTTGTTGCAGTTTTACCGTAAGAGCTTTAATGGCCCCAATAAGTCAACTTTTAGTGTATTACGTCACAAATCAAGGCGAACCAGTAAGCGATGTTATAAATTTCGATGTAAAATTATTAAATAAACAGGTAAGAGTTTAAAAATGTTTACTTTTTTTAATGTAATTGTATAAAGCTTTTATATTAGCATCGCCATTTCTCTTCGCCGCTTTTCCAACAACTTCTCAAAATATTTCTTGATGTATCTTGAGACGAGAATCATGGGTCTCATTTGCATATTTTCATATTCTTCACCTGCGGGTGGGATTACATCGCTTTTCATTCTATCAACCGTACAAACGCAAACCATCGCGGCTTGTATCCCACAATGATTGGTGTAAGAAGCGAAAGGAATCCCCTCCATCTCGATATTCACCACCCCCATCTCTTTCAATCGGTGTAAATACTCCAATTTTTCAGCTTCGCCGTGTTCGCAAATCGCCCCATCGCATCTACCTTGTTCCTCGTAAAAATCCATCGTGCACAAGGTTTTACCCGAAATTGTTCGATATCCATCATCGGGACTAGTAAATTTTTTCAACCGATTCGTTATTTTACCATCGAGTTTAACCGGACGCCGAACCGGATTTCCCAATACGCACACTTCTTGGTAATCGCGATTCATCGCGTCGATTAAAGATTCTGTGATGATTACTGTTCCTGGGTCTACGTCTAATCCACCGCAAGTTCCCACCCGGAAAAAGATTGGGTTTTTGCATTTCGCGTAGTGCATCAATTTAATAACCTCGTGAAGCAAAATTGAGATAGATGAGGACCCCATTCCGTGACTGATTGAAAGAATTGGTCCTGTTTTATACAAAGCGTATCGATACGAGTGTTTGCTGATGTCGGTTAATGAAACTCCGCATGGAAGGGTCACTTTTAATTCGTTTTTCATGAAATGAGCAAAGTTTTTCATTCGATTCGGATCACCACCCATCACAACAAACTTAACGTCGCCAAAAAGTTGATGAAGATCGTGAGTGTTTGTTGCTAAATTTAAATGGTGTAAAGTATCGAATGGTAGATCTTGTAAGTTGGGATTTCGACACCGAATTATCCCATCTGCTGTTCTTTTCGATAAGGCGCAAGTACATTTATCTCCGTCTTGTTGGGTTGGGGGTGGAGGTGGTGGTTGAGCATCAGGGTTGTTTTTATCCAAACAAGTACAATATCCATACATTTTTTTTAAATTTTACACTGAGAATTTTATAAATGTTTAAATATGATTGATTTATTGACAGATTTACGTCAACAATTGATAAATTATTTGATTTATTATTATATAAATAAGTTGGCAATGGTTTACATGTATAGAGTTTTTAGTGTTTATAAGTTGGCAATAACAAAAAAAATGACAGAACGAGTTGTCAATAAAGAAATTTAGGTTAAATTGGATGAAATAATGTTAGGAGTAGGGGAGTAGGTTAGATACGAATTCGGCAAGAAATTAAACAGCGCGATGGTTCATTAGCAGTTAACTAAAAGAAAGAAAATGTAGAACGAAAGTTATCAAGAGTATGTGCTAAATATGATGTTTATTGTAAGACAAGGAGACGTTGAAGAAAAAGCGGTTAAGGTTCGATAGGTCTATTTCTTATTGTTTTAGAATAAATCTAAAAATAAACTTTTTTTATAAAATTTCTAAACGCCGCCGAAATCTAGTGTTGTCGAAGAAATGAAATTTACAGTTTCCTGTAAATTACGGGCGGTATTTAAATTACGGGGTATTATTTTTCTGGTATTTAAAAATAAATAATTATGTTTATTACACCAACTGTTAACGTGGAAATATTTAATGGATTGCATTGTTTTGATAGGAGATATATGTTTTTTAACTTTTAGTTATAGTACCGTAATTTACAGGAAACTGTAAATTTAATTTCTTCGATACTAAAAAAATTTTTTTAACCCTTTGTGTCCCAAGAAGTCAAACATTTTGAAACTTTGTGACAGAATCAGACAGAATTAAAACGCTATCAAAATACACTCAGTAAAGGCNTTGGATGAAATAATGTTAGGAGTAGGGGAGTAGGTTAGATACGAATTCGGCAAGAAGTTAAACAGCGCGATGGTTCATTAGCAGTTAACTAAAAGAAAGAAAATGAAGAACGAAAGTTATCAGGAGTATGTGCTAAATATGATGTTTATTGCAAGACAAGGAGACGTTGAAGAAAAAGCGGTTATGCAGTACAAAAATAATAGTAAACATTACAAAAATATAGGGTTCGATAGGTCTATTTCTTATTGTTTTAGAATAAATCTAAAAATAAACTTTTTTTTATAAAATTCCTAAACGCCGCCGAAATCTAGTGTCGTCGAAGAAATGAAATTTACAGTTTTTAGTTATAGTACCGTAATTTACAGGAAACTGTAAATAAATTTAATTTCTTCGACGACACTAAAAAAAAGTTTTTAGTGTTTTTAGCTTTATTCTAAAACAATAAGGAATAGACCTGTCGAACCCTATATTTTTGTAATCAGAAAAAAATAACAAATTTAATTTTTGACTATTTTTTTGTTATTTAGTTATTTTTTATACCTAGAACTAGAATCATTCGGATTTAGCCGTTTTTAGAGACGTGTGGCTAAACCCAAATGATTCTAGTTCTAGGTATAGTGTTAGTTAACATTTCCTATAAAAATTGATGATAATGGATCAAGGTAACATAATTCATAACCAATACCACCATAGATATCACCACTTCTTAGGTNTTAACCCTTTGTGTCCCAAGAAGTCAAACATTTTGAAACTTTGTGACAGAATCAGACAGAATTAAAACGCTATCAAAATACACTCAGTAAAGGCCTTTGGAATAAAATTTAAGCAAAATATGCAATCCCCCTATTTTCGCATAGTCTAAATGTCAAAAATGATGCTAATTCAAAAATTCCTGGAAACCGTTTTTATTGAAATTAAGAAATAAAACTTATTTTAAATTGAAGCTTAAAGCTTTCTGTTTAAATCGATGTATAACAATCGATGGTTTGAATTAGAAAAATATTGAGAAAAAGAGTATTGAGTTAAAACTAACATTTTCGTATAACCTAAAAGTGTCAAAAAAGATGCTAATTTAAAAATTCCTGGAAGCCGTATTTATTGAAATTAAGGAATGAGACTTATTCTATATTAAAGCTCAAAGCTTTCTCTTTAAAATGATGTATAATAATTGTTGGGTTGG